TATTTTCACTGCTATATAACACACCTCCGTACAAGGAATAATGTAAGCAAAGCTAGCAAAGTTGTTTGAAACTTTTCTATATTAAACTTTATGTTTAACCCAACACAACCAATAATTACTGACACCCATGTGTTATATTACATTACAGTATTTGTTGTGTATATAAGATATGTTGACCAATAGCATGATAAGAAGACATTGGTGGGGAATAAGGAAAAGTATCTCACAATACAGTTTTCCAAGTTTCATTACTGCCACTATTGAAAGCTTTCATCAATGTTACTTTCATATGCTAATTAACTAACTATGAACCATGAAGTGTGTTCATATACATTTCAGAGTAAATGTTATAAATATACAGAATCATATTGTTGTTATTATCATTTTTTATATTTAAGCTTAGAAAAATAAAAAACATTTGGAAAATAATCTCAGTTATGTATACATGGGTTAAACTTGGCAAGTTTGGTATGTGTGGGAAAAAAATCTATAAAGGACTGTGAAATGTTACCCTTTTTTTCTAGAAATCACTATTGTCAGGCATCATGATCTGTCTGGAGTCATGAAAACATTAATGCAGCTCATGTATGTGTTTCATACAGCAGACAAGGCTTTTTCCTAGAAGGGTCATGGGAGGGTGCTGGAGTCTGTCCCACCTGACACTGGATGAGAGACAGGGTCACGGGATCATCACAGGGCCACATAGAAACACACCACCAACACATTCTCTCTCCTAGGGTTAATCTTTTGGCCTTCAATTATCCTAACATGTTTATTTTTGGACTGTGTGAGGACCCCACAGTATTAAAGTCTGAAAGGCTCTGTAGTATTTTATAGTATTACATAACTGAACATATACAGAACTAAGCATTTTCTGTTTTGTTCAAGATTTATAGCCCATTTAGATAATTTGCCTATTGTAGTGGTAACGTTACTTATCAGCTTTTGTCTTATTTTATTTAGCTATTCACCTAAAGACTGCCTATAGAGAGGGTCATTTAAGAAAATGAGCACATACCAAATTACTGAAGAAAATGTCCCACTCCTAGATATTTTATTGGTTATGAATAAAACTTCCGCTGAATCTACTTATTTTGAAAGTATTATATTATAAACAAACCCAAGAGAAACGTAACACTCAGCATTTACGCAGCATTTACAAACGTTAATAGGGAAGTCTGTGTTGTGAATTTGGCTATAACATGCACACAGTGATAGGTTAGATGCAAAGTAGGAGGCAGAAACCGCATTCTAATCGTACATCTCTCATGTTTCTCTCTTCCTCCTGCTATAACCGTGTTATTGAAGGTCCATGTTTTGAAAGTTGTCAAACTTGTTAAGTTAAAAACACATTTTTCTGCACACGCTTTGCAGGGGCTCTGTTGTCACTGGTTAATTTTGAGATTTAGTTTGGGCTATTTTTCCACCTAAAACATTCTCAAGTCGCCCATAGTGTTATCTTGTTTAGTTTTTTGACAGGCTCACAAATTTTTGAATGATTACATTGTGTTCCCACTTTACTCTGCTTTATGTTCACTTTCCAAAGAACAGTATCACAGACACAATTTTGCAAACGTCAACTCCTCTTATAGATATCAACAAATAGAATATTTTTTACAATATAACTGGATAGAATTTTTGGTTGTAATTTTGATAAGATAGTGTTTTTTGGCACAGCAAATCCCATCATGTCAGTTACACTATTTTTCTAGATATACCAAAACACGGAAACCCCTTTTGATACTACTATCCACATGTGGACTTTACATTTGTTTTCCTTCAGTTTTGAGATTCTTTGCCGCAACATGGTAAAAAGTTCAAACTGCATGTAACTTTTATTGTTAAGTCTTGTCATTGACAGAACAGCACAGATAGGTATTTTCACAAAATACCTATTATGGCTTTTGTATTATGTCTTAGTAAGTATTACTAATAAGTAAACGTACACTTATTGCTTTCTTTCATTTATTTGTATGTAGTGTTTTTCTGCAAAGCCATTTTTTATATTTATTATCTTTTTCCTTGTTAGAAATTCAGTATTTCATCTTGGAATCTTTTAACAGTGAATTATCACAATTAGAACCATCTCAAATAGGGAACTGTCATTGATATCTGCTCAATTTCACAGGTTGAAGTAACCATCATTCACCCATCTCATTAAATAACTTTTTCTCTCACAAAGGCCTCTTCCTACAGTGGAAAACCTCTTTTGTAATTCTATACATGATTCGCCTGAATGCATTTTAATTAATGAAGCTGTTGTTTTTGTTGATCTGAAGCCCTTAGGCTGTTTATTAGTCTTAACTGTTCTCATTCTTTATCAGTGTTTGCTTCAGGTTTTGGCCTTTTGAAGTGGAAAATGGACAAAGTCACACAAGAATGTGTTGGACCGCAAACTGAGGAGGAGCTCTCTGCACCGCTCTCACCAAAACGGCCAAGGACAGACTGTGAAGGGACAGATGTGTATGACTCTTCAGTGTCTAATGAGGCAACAAGTTCCCTGTTTTCCAGTTATCAACAGGGGACTGGGGACGAAGAATCCACCGTAGAAAGGGAAGATTTCAAAGACACAAAACCTCAAGTTCAATCAGAGAACACTGCTGCCTATGTGGTTGATTCAAACAGTAACGGTGCTCATGCACTATCATCCGAAATGTGCTTCATCAGTCCAGAGAATCAACAGCCTCTGGTTTGTGACCTAGACCACCTCCGTATGTGTGTAAGTGATGGCGCATGTGTGTCTCTTCTGCCAGCCAGTTCAGCCACACCAAGTGTTCTGGACTGCACGCAGCTGGAGGAGCCTCTCAAAGAAAACGGCAGCCTGCTCACTGGAAATGGCGAGGACGAAGATATCAGATGTCAGTCTCATTATAACTATAAAACTGCAGAATGTGTCACAGATCCCTGCACGTGGAGTCAATTAGCTGAAGTTAAGGAGGCTAATCTGACGAAGGAGGACCTGGAGGTGATTGAGAATATCTCTTTCAGAGAGGCAAAGGGTGAGAGTCCCACGCCTTCCGAGGGTTATGCTGACTTTAAAGCACTCAACTCTAACCCCGAAGAGGACTCCTTTGGAGACTTTGCAGAGATGGGAAAAAATGAAGGGGATATCTTTGAACCAGAAATATGTGGGAGTGGAACGGTCTCCATTTGTGAAGAGCAAACAAAAAGCAATTTTAATGAGACAGGCTCAAACAAATACCTCATCCCAGATCCTGCAACATGTAACAAGGAGTCAATTTCTTCTACCAACATGCTTTTTGAAACAAGCGTTGTAGTTCAGAGTGTGAGTTTAGAGGTTGATAAGTACAGCGGGGCCGATCAAATAGCAGAGCCTCCAACATCAGCAGGAATCTGTCAAGAGCCCACCGAAAGAGATAATGATGCAGACCCTTTGACAGGAAGTGACCCTGCAATCAGGAGTGAAGCTGAAGGGACACACTGTGACTCAGAGAGTGCTGCAGGCACAGACTTATCATCAGAACAAGTCTGCAAGATGGGAACACCTCCTCCACTTTGTTCTGATGTCAGAACATCACAGAAGGACTTATCCCCAGACCAGGAAAGCAGTGATAAAAATGAGGTCCTCTGTCAGTCATTAAAAGAAACAGGGGCTCATTTAAACGAAATTTACAGCATGACTGGCAGTGAGGAAAGTTCCAGCAGGAGCCCCACAAAGCCATCTTCTGTTATGAATGACGGAGTTCAAGAAAGCCATGATGCTCAGAGACAAGAGCACAGTCAATCCAGCTGTTTTCCCTCCAACACTGAGCCCATGAAGACACAGAGGCTGCAATGCTCACAGACAGAGAAAGACACACTCTGTGACCAGAGTGAGGGAGAAAAACTCAAATCTGCAGAAGATGAAGGGGAGCTGGAGCCTTTGTGCGATGAACCCAATTGTGCAATTGAAATGGAAGTTGAAGAGGGGAAGGGAAGAGAGGAAGTGATAAGTGACGGAGGGGGAAATCAAGAAATTCAGGCTAAATCTGAGGTCCAGCCTGAACCAAAAGACAATGTGAGTGAAAAGTCCCCTGGTAAGGGCATGGGAGGGTGGGCGGAGGGCACTAGACAAACCTTTAGAGAAGAAGAAGAAAAGCTCACACCAACAGAGGATATGTCCAGGTCTGAAAATGAGGATCAGCTTTTGGCCTTCTCCTTTCCCTCGAGCGATGCAGTTGTGCCATGCCAGCAGAATTTAATTCTTTCCGAAAATGCTCCCCACAACTCTGGAGCGGTCATGTGCAATGACAGATTTTGCCCATCTGCCTTCACGCTCCGCAGCTGCGTGCCAGAGGGGTTTGACACTTTTGAAAAGATCCCCCTATCAGCAGACGATGGAGACGGGGACGACGAGCACACCGTAGGCCTGGGCAGCTTGCCCGCCATCACCAGCTCGCCCAGACACCTGTCCACAACACCAGAGCACCAACAGAACGTGCCCATGGCTGAGAATGACGAGAAGACACCACCGGACGAAGAGGAGGTGAAGGACGGTGGCGAAGAAGTTGTGGAAAGATTGAAACGTCACGCTGACACCTCAAACGGATTAGTTAGCAGTGAATCCGCTTATGACGAAGCCTCAAACTTCATCTCCGCAGCAGATGACATAACTCT